TCTGTTTCCCTGCTTCAGAACACCATGAATAAATTTAAACTGTCAAATATCCCAAAAGTCTAGGAAACAGGACTTATTATTGGAGTCAAGGCTGCACTGAGACCAAGACATAGGCTCAATCTAAAACAGGCCCCTAAACACTGACCCTAAGCACTAAACCTTTGTTTGCGCTTTCTGCAATATTAAGGACTGTCCCAAACCACATACTGGCTAGGGTGGGTGGAGGACTGAGCCCTTAAATAGCAAGTTTGCATTAGAGCATGCTTGCAAGAATTTGGCAGTGGGTGTAACAGCAAACTAGTGGGGGAAACACTGGCATTCAAATATAAGTTCCGCTTTTTTGCTGCATCTTCATCATTCAGAAAATCATAAGACAGAATCATATGACAGAAAATCATAAGTTAGGAAAAAGACAAAAAGACGTCCTTTCTCCCTGAATGGAAGGTCCTGATTGAAATGATGGTCTGCTTGTGAAAGCAAAATCTGTTGAGCTGTCATTTACCTCTTGGACGTCTTTTCCCAGAGCTCTACTGGCAACAGGACAGAAAAAAAAAAAATTCAGAGGGTACCTTAAAGTTGGTGCTTTGGTAAATAATGTATCGTTAACATTTATTTTTGAAGATCTGTTCCATTACAGTTTGCTCAAAAATCCCCTGATGCCAAATAAGCATCAATGGAACCTGTTGGAAGTTGCTTTTCAACATTTAATATGTTTTTAATTTTGAAATGAATCTTAGATATCTACAATATCCATTCAGCATAAAAAAAACTAGTAGATTTCTTTAGTCTGCATTGCAAAACACATTGGTAAGAAAGAGTACAATTTTGCTAATGAAAGAATAACACTGGATTTATATACGCAGTTGATTGTGGAAAAGATAAAAGCTTTCACAAACTTACAATATGATTTATAGAGATCCACTTTTCCCAACAAAATGTAAAATATTAATGAATCAAATGAGAATTATCCCAAAGTTTTGCAGGCTTCTCCATACCTTGATATTTTTTTGGTGTATTAATTAATGTTAAAAACTTAATTTTGACGACGAGAGCCTTAATAGTTATATATGAAAATCAGTTATATATATGGCCTTGTGGTTTGATTGTATGTTATGATAGCCTACCATATCCTAGTTCCTGAATCCCTTATTTCAGTGAACTGTTTTTTCAGGAGCCTTCCAGGAGCTGGATGATCAGTGAGCCCAGAAAATGTCATGTGCCAATGAGTGGAGTAAAGCACATGATGGACCGAGTGTTTCAGATAATAGGTTAGTATTCATGGAATGCAGCTTCCAGATTTAGATTATATTGGACCCTTTGATTTTCAGATGACATTTTATGAAGAAAAATGGTTTGGGGAGGGCATGAATAAAATAATCCTCAATTTTTCCCCTTAAAACACACAAGTCATCTATGCATACCCAACCCACACATTTGTAAACAATCCAGTCTAAATATTAGAATCCTGACGAATGTCAAACTAATTACTGAAATAACGTGATTGTTGCAAGCTGTCCTAACATCTTTCAAGATACAATTAAAGCTTTTCAGAAATCGTTTCATGTGCACAGCTAGTCAATTGTACATGATACTACCACCGTCATACTTTATGATTGGTATGATGTACTTTTGACAGTACAGAGGGCTTTTTTTTTGCAACAAATAAATGTCTTTTTGAACCATTTTGAACCCGACCAGGGTGCAATACGTTTCTTATTTTTCCTGAAGGACACCTTTTGATAAGATCCCTTCCATCTTATGAGGGTTTTCTGCAGATCATAGAAATAGGAAGAGCACAAATACAAAGAGCCTATTTCATCAAACAGTTAACTTAATATGAGGTGAAAAAGCATTTTTAATTAAGACAGTTTTTGTCCAGGATTAGGTTTAAATATGGGGATTAATTTGGAACTTTGGAGATTTGCACACATTTTAATTTGTATTTAATGACTAAAGGAAACGGTAAATAAACCAAGAAACCTGGAGCAGACATTTGTAAACTGTCAGCATGAAGGCTGAGAGGAAATTAGCGCAGCTAAGATTAGTCATTTAATTTGCCTGTCAATGTCATTGGCTGTTGTTAAACAACTTTATTTTTTTGCCCATTCCATGCAACTTTTGAACCACCACCAATCAGGCTCTTTCCCAGAAAGAAAAAGTCTGATGCCTTCAACAAATCTGTCTTGTATCATAATATTCTTCACAGACTCTGTTCTAGGCCTTTAAGTCAGGCAAAGAAACATAAATATTTATGTTTTAATAACCCGACGTGGGTCAAAATAGTTCCAAATGTCGGGTAGTGGGCGTTTGGGGCCAGAGTCTAATCTAGTCCATCAGTTTTGTGGAGACCTGGTGTTCATGGCAATCTTATTTAGGCTGACTCCTGTATATACAGAGTAAACATCATGAAATCCTCAGTGTTTGCTAACAGGGCAGGGGGTCCTTGCATGCCTCAAAATGGATCGACGTGTATAAACAGTGTTAGCTGGGCCTGAGCAACAGCTACCTCCACTGAGGAGAGTCTGTCACGCACAAGGGGCCAGACACAGCACAGTCCCCTGAAATCGCAACACAATTAGGTACAGCCATAAGTGATATTCAGCGTTATCAGAAGGCTCATCTAGAGCTTCCTTATTGTTCAAATTAACCTTCTTATGATAATTCATTCATTTATTTCTCTTCAGAAATTGTAGATATTTAAAAAAATTGTATAGCTCATATTTATTTACTCAAGTTGTCAAAGTTGTCAGCAGCACTTTTTGAGTAACTGCAGCGTAATTCTGTTAATGTCTGCTTTCTGTCACTGGGATAAAGAATTAAGGTATGTGTAAATATTAATCTGAATCAGAAATTATATGTGGCTAACAGCATAATGAGTACCACTATATGGGAATTTGGCCAAGTGTTAACAATCCTGCGTTGACTCCTACTTGTCAAAAGACTCGGCTTGTTTAAAGTAAACCACATGCGATAGAAAGGCTATTTCTAGGAGAAAACATTTCCTTCCTCACATAAAAGCAGGAGCCAATTTCAAGTTTATGAAAACTCAAACAGAATGTAATTAAAGGTACATGCTTTGGATCATGGACTCTCTGTGCTAACGGCACACAGACATAAGACATCAGCACAAAAATCACAAGCGTGGAGATTTTTTCCTGTGCCAGACTTTCAGAGAAGAAACCAAAGATTAAAATAAAAGCATCAAGCGGATCCTGGTTATCTGTGCATCAGCAAACTGTGAGCCACGTGTGGTTCAGGTTTGGCATCTTCACTTTGGGCCTGTCCTGGCTCCATGTTTCCCATTGGCAGTGACAAGACACCACTACAAAGGCCCGCTCCAGCTGCTTCCACATCTGGGCCTGTAGTATGTAGCACTTTGTAGGAGTGAGTGAGTGAGTGAGTGCATTAGAAGGCGCAGCTTAAAAACCGGACAACCTTCATGAAAGGATGCTGCAAGAAAGTTACAGTCTGTATTTATTCTCTCCTGAAGAGGGTTTATCTGCTCTCATCTTTGTGCTCCTGTACCAGTTTAAATCAAAACCTTCCTTTGTCTTCACTTATGTTTACAGGCAAAGTTCAGTAGAGTCTGATCTTTTCCAGTGTTTAATACACATCCGTATTTTGGGGAAAAAAACAGAACACAAAGAAAACTTCAAACTTGATAAGTAGCTGCGGGTTTTTATTATCAAACTTTTATATTAACATAAAATAATATAGGCAGACTTTCAGTATTAAAATAATGCTCTCCAAAAAATATAAACATCTCTACATTACGTATAAACACATTCAAAGGCAAACCCTTTTATATTTAACATATCTGGACACTGAACCATTTCTTGCTCAGCGTTTAATCTGTTTTGAACTGTTATTGTTAATCATGAAGCAGTAAATGAACGGTGCAAAGCCTTAGTCAAACAAACACAGACTCAAGGTTGAAACAAGTTGGTGAAAATAAGTTTATCATAAGACCGACTAACATTTATTTACAGGACAATATTAAATTTAACTCTCAAATCCGTTCCTTAAAAAAGTTAAACTGTTTCATACATATTATGTTATAAACAAATGCTTAGATGCACTTTTTCCCCCCCTCACAAACCAACATAATTTTGATTGTAAAAGTGAAGTATAAGAAAAACAATGCATATATATATATATATATATATATATATATATATATATATATATATATATATATATATATATATATAGCCCCTTTTTAGTTGTTTATCTTTAAATTAAATACAATGGAACTAAATAAACTTAGAGCTCATTCGATTAAATGAACTACATGTTCATGTACGCTTTAGAGGGATGCAACAATGTTGAATTTTTTAAAGAAAGCAGTAAGAGTTATCCTCTGTATTTACCACATGCCTTTTATAGGTCAAGGTAAACATAAAAGAAGATGCGTTTTTACATATCATTTTCATTTTCCTTCTACTTTACAATTATGTGTCAATTTTGTTGGTCTATGATGTAAAATCCCTATAAATTACAATGATTTTCAATAAATTAGAACATTTTTGGAAAGTTTTCTAATTATCATTAACTAAATAAAACACACCATACAAGATTACCAACAAAAAGACATCGTTTTATAAGGATTTTACCCTTAACAATATTTAAAACTTTAATATTTGTTCAAGACAATAATAAAAGGTTCATATAAAAATATTGACATAATGAATAGTATTTATTAAATATTGTTTTTTGAATTTTTTTAATATAGATTTTTTTATTTAATGAAAATGACTGTATGTTGGGTTGCGGGGGTTTTATGGGAAAAATCATGAAAATAGGCATCAATGGTTTTACATAACTCATTATTATGAGTTTTCTTTAAAAATAAAAGCCTTCCGAGCAACAAGACAACTGGACATTCAATATTAGAAACGTAATAGACCTTTGTATCATAAATTAAATGTTTACTGAATCTAACAAATAGAGCTTATATTCATTTATTTTTTTTATGTACATTAGTTGATCTAAAGTTTCTAATTTAAATCTGTACAAAGATGTATTCCGTACAAAAGTGACCTAGCAGCATTAACGGAGTATGGGTTATAAAATCTAAAATAAATGGAAAAAAACAAACAAAAAAAGCATAAAAATGTACCTGAAAACTGGGATTTTATCCAGTTTTAAACGTACTTCATATTTCAGCTTTTTCTCAGGAAAAGTCGGAACAGCATTACTAATGTCAAACTCTACCGGAATAAATGAAACCTTGCATCACTAAAGCAAAAACAAAACACAAAATTAGCAAAATCACACTTTTAACGTAAGCCTTTGGAAAACCAAGGGAACAAATGCTTTTAGTAGACACATCAGTAGCTTGTTCAATTTCATATTTTAAAAAGCATATAACCGCACTGTACAGGCTGAGATATGTAAGCCAGTGCAGTTGTCTCTATAAGAAATGCTGCATTTGTGTTTTCCTTCAATTTTTGATAGATTAAACAGAAAAAAAGACACTGAAATAGAATAATTTTGCCATTTTGTGCACCAAACAATGAAAATGCCATCACAGTCCAAAAACAATAACTTATCATATAAAGTCTTGCAGCTTTTGAGGAGCAGCTGGTGAAAAAGAAAAGTGTCCAGCAGTGACGTCCATCATATAGTGAGAAAGTCTTGGTTAGAATAGAGGACTGAATGTGAGCTTTATCTGAAACTGGGAAGAGTGGTTTAAATATTCCAGATAAAATACCAAACTCAGTGTTAGTTGGCTGCTAGAGAATTTAGGGTGTGTCTCTCTTACACTGCTTAGGTGTCCTATGTAGGACGACACCATCTCCTCTGATGATATAGGGTTTAGGCTTTGAATCCGGAGAATTCAGGGAGGTTCTGCCCTTGGGAATGAAGAGTCATTGTTATCTCCGACAAGCGTATGCATTAATGTTTTTGATGACATAAAAACCTATGGTCATTGGAGGCATAGCTATTGTCCTTCCAGCCCGTAGAACCTTAGGCTTCAGCTCTGGGAATGTCTCATCTTTACCCATAAGAAGCTTCTCGCCATTTAGTTGAACATGTCTGCAAAAAGAGGAAAAAATGTGCACAAAAGACCAACAGACCCTTTAAAATTGGCATAATCACAACCAACATTGCTAAACAGAACTGAAACAGTAGAATTCGAGACACTTAAAATGGTCTTTACGCATGCATTTCAGTATAAATAAATTTTATCAAATATTTCCTTTTATTACAATAATTTAATTGAAAGTGTGACATTCATAAGTTTTTGATTAAACACAGACAGAATTCAATATTTCAAGTGTTCATTCAACATAATATTCTTATTAATGGCTTTAAGCTACAAACCTTAAAGATACGGTAACCAAAAAAATTCACCTTTCTGAAAAATGTTGATATTGAACTAATTTTAAATTTAAAAACTGCTGCTTTTATTGTCCTTTTTTTTTATACAGTCTCGCATCATAGATTATGTATGATAAACTGGGGTATTTAGCTCAGATTAATTTGCTGGTAAGTCAACCCCAGGGTCTCCATTAACATTTATATGGGATTATAGAAAGGTACCATGACCTATGGGAAATGCAAAAAAAAAAAAAAAAAAAAAAAAAAAAGAGTAAAAAGAAGGTCTAATAGACAGGCTTGCAGGCTTGCTTATTATGGACTTGATAAAACACAGCTGACCAACGCCACCCGCAACTCGTTACCAGAAATCAACACTCGCCGTGGAACTTTCACAAGAACCCTCCATCAACTTGGATTCTGTGCCTCCCCACTCGTTCTCCAGGCTCTGTGTGTTTGATTTAAAAGTTAAACAGAAACCTTCCTTCCATCTAAAGAGCTAATTTTGTACCACTAAATAGTATCTTTTTTTTCCCCTTATCCCAATTAATACATTGATATCTGTCAGGTTCAGGAGTGCTTTAACAAAGATTGTGACAGATATGTCCTTGTCCTGAGGGGTGTTTCATTAAGCTGGCCTATTCCGTAAGTCAGGCTTATCTGGACAAATATGACTTGTGTTGTTGTCATTTGGGTTTCATAAAGGTGGCTGGCTCTGTTTGCTTTGGTTACTCTGGCAATTGACCCAGCAAACATAAGAATGAAACTTTGTGCACTCTAGTGGATGCCGTTAGCACTACAAGACTGAAAGAAAATCCTATTAGCGGATGTCTTCTGTTAATCAGATGTAACAAATTTTATCTAATAAACCATTTATGAGCAATTATTCATAAGTCAGTTATTTGAAAACATCCATAATAGACACAATAATGGAATTAGCAAATCATGTACACAAAATATCTGAATATTTTGTCTCTTTCCCTTATAAAAAAAAATTAAATTGCATAAGGCCATAATAGGCACACTTGGGCATGTGTGTCAGAGATGGGCTATCTTATAGATAAGGTTATGGAGGAGGGAGCTGCAGCTTAAATGAAAGCTCAGCATCATGTTTCTTCATGGATTAAAATCACCCTCATGACTCTTTGCTGCATGCATGTCACTGATATTCTGAAGATTGGTTAATTTACTTGAATGCCTTAATTGTACCTACTCTTTGCAAGAAAACAGCACTAATTATGCACCAACTGCCCCCCAAATACTCTGCATAGGCCTGTGCTTCTTTACCAAAAGGTTAAAGCTGGGTGGGTGCAGTCCTCCCTTTGTCTTTGTATCAGCAATCTAATACAGGGTCTGCTTAGGTGCATGGCAATACCGATTAGTTGGACCTGCCTTGCATTAGCAAAATTAATCAAGGATTAATCGAAATATCAAAATATCTTTGTGAATACTGCCAACTTAATTTCCATGTGGAAAGGGGCTTAGATAGAGTCCAAGTCTGGCTTTTCTAACCCAGTTTTATGAAATACCCCTCTGGTCACATCTGTGTGTGGTGGCTCTTTAGCTTCTATCACAGCCAAAAAAACATGCCTTGTGAATCTCCTGATTTTCCAGCTGTTTTTCCATCCAGTAAACTTTCCATCAATGTGCTTTGATACAACTCCAGGTGAATAGCCAGCTTCTACAGCAATGACCATTTCTGACCTGCTCTCCTCATAGAGATTGTCAATGGGTGTCCTCTGGACATCTGTCACATTAGTCAGCTTCCCCATAATTGAAATAAGAGTAAGATAGCATTTCTTTCATATACATCTTCCACCATAGGTTTGATGTTATTTTCAAAATGTCTTGGATTTCCAATAACTGAACGAGGATCTTCTCATTCATTTTTACACAAAACTTGTAAATCTTATAATATCTATTATTGGTGGAGGTCAAACAGTTACGCTACTAACTGTACTATAAAGGTTCACACTCTTCAAACTGTGGCACTGTCAGAGAAAAATTAAAGCTTTGTCTTTATCCCCCTGTAATGTAACAGAATAATATTAGCCTTCTATGCTGAACAGTGCAGCCTGCATAGTCTTCTAAAGCAAAGATTCCTTGTACAGAACACAGCAGTCATTCGTTGTTTTGTTTTGCTGTGCTGTGAGACATAATCACATTGGTTCAGTAATGAATGCAAAAGGCTTAAGAGGAAGATGAACCACTTCCACCTTCAGCTGAAACACTGATTCTAGCAGTTGGACACTTGGGGACGCTGTTGCGTCAGTTTTTTAAAGTTAACACTTTCACAGCAGTGCAGATAAAGCCTTTCAGATAAACCTTTGCATAAAAATGGAATAATGATGGATTCAACACTAATATAAATATTTAGAACATTTAAATAGTATAATTGTGTTCTTAAAACAAAAATGTTTTTATTTTATCAACAGAGGGCTATAATAATCAACATGACTCATTGTAGAAATAAAAAAAAAAACAACAAAACAGTAAAGTAGCTTCTTTTAAACAGCATAAATACTTTAGAATCAATCTTTTTAAATTGAGAATTTAAACTGTTTTTTGGGTTTGACCTCAGATAATCTGAAGGGCATTTTGTCCTATTTAAATTGTATTATATTCTTTGTAGTAAGCAAAAATTGAACAGCAATGGTATTTATATAAAAAAGAGCAAATTACATTCATGAATCATTGAGGATAAAATATGAAATGGATTTTTTTTACAAAACCAAGAATAAAAAATAAAAAAACAACCCCCCAAAAAACATGATAAAGTTTATGAGGTTTTGTATTTATTTCTTGATCTCTCTCTAGATCAACAGCATATTTAGGATTAACTTTATTGTCTGCAATTCTTTTCTAAAATATTTTACCTTTCATCACAGCATCATCGTTTTATAAAATTCGAGCTTTTAAAACTGACTCAACCACTAATGTTATAAAGTTTAACATAAAATGGAAATAAAAGACGTTGTTCTGGAGGTTACTTTTACAAGAACTGACCACATTCTATAAAATTTAAAATAAAATTATTCCCTCTAATGAGAATTTACAAGTGGATCTGAAGTGTTCAAAGTTGCCCCTCTACACGCATTAGCCTAAACACTTAAAAAAAGAAGTCCCACAAGGGAAGCTTTATAGACATCTGGTGCTGTTGAATTGATCATTAAGTTCTCGTGCAGTGCCTGTGGTTAAAGAAAGCACCTTAAAGATAGATAATGGGACATCGTTAGCTGCCTCGCCTTTTAATTGCCTTACAATCTTGTTCCAACACCAAAAACATCCTTCATCATTATGCTGCTATGAAGGTTTACGTGTAAGCCTCCATTAAGGCCATATGCAGGTATCGTATACCTCAAAGAAAGCCTCACACATCCACAGTTGTGAGTCATTACGTTGTTATTTCAGGATTTAGAGCTTAAGACAAAGTAAAAAATAACAGGCCATGAGGCTTAGAGTAGACAGTGAGAGACTAAAACTATAATGGATTTATTTTAAGAAACATTTTAAGGAAATTAGAATTAAATGGGGTTATTACACTAAGTGAAATAAATCACAGATAAACATTTGCCAAAACAGCACTAAGAGCTTCAATAAGTAGAAAAAACGAAATATTATCGTATTTTCATTTGAAAACAAAAAGGAAAAAGGTTAAGCAAACCCTCAAATAATAATCTAGATTACACCCAGATGGAATAGGATTACCTGTCAGTACTGGGATTAAACCATGTTCATACATAATCTGAGATTACTTTTGTTGTTAATTAGTGCTGCATAAATAAACAGAACTGAACTTATTTTAACCTTCTGAATGGGCCTGTGCTGTGATCATTTCCTTTTAATACCATTAAAGCTCCAACAGAACACTACTGATATATGGGGAGCAAATAGGGGGAAAAAGCGTTTGCTGTAAAGTTATAAGATTAAGTGTGTGTTGATGTAATAGCATTAACTCAAGGTGTGTGTTTGCATGTTACTTTGTGTGTCATTCAACAAGCTTGCTGGCTCAGCACAACTTATGGTCTTAAAACTAAACAAATTTAATACAGGTCTGTAAAGGGTCTGTGTTTAACACCTTATAAAAAATGCTTATAAAATTCCAATTTTCCTTATTCCTCAGCTCCATGCTCTTTAGACCACTGTGCAAAATAATTGCCCTTTTGTGGGTTGCATTCTTAAATCACATCATTAAAGAGTAAATAATTTGCTGTAAATCTAAACAAAGAAACAGGCAAGTATTAACCTGGCTCTGAGTCCACCCTCGCCGTGAGGTTGCAGAAGGTATTGATGGACGGTCCTGTTCCGTAACGTTCCTGCCAGCTTGATTTTCTTCCTCGACCGATGTAGATTGATTATGTAGACTGTTATGGATCCTCTCATGTAGTTAGGACTGATGCATAAAAGATCAAACAAAAGATTACTTTAAATTTGGACAGTAATGTCTGTCAGCAAAAAAAAAAGAAACACTCTATTCCACATCTGCTACTGGGGATTTACTATATGCCATTATAGATAAAATGTTCTATTAGTAAGAACGAATACAAAGAAAGGAAAGTCTTTGATATTTTTATCACATAGCTATGGGATAAAAGCATAACTCATTTATCTTATCTGGATCAAAAAGCTTTCAGAAAATTGAGAAAGTAAAGTCAAGCATGTCTAACAGATGAACTCAGTCTACAGTGGAAACCAGTTATTTACATACCCTGTATAAAAAGATGCACAATCCTTTTTACTGCCTGACATTAAATTATACTAAACCTCTTCTTCGTTTGCTCAGAGGGGAATACTAAACATATTATCATTGCATGTTTTCAAAAAAAGTTTGTCCAGTTCATCTGAGAGCTGGTTCCTTGGTTTGGGTTTGTCGGCCACCATGCACACACCTTTTTAGCCCTCTACAAATGTTCTATGGGGCTGAAATCAGGATCTTATGATGACCTCTCTGTGACATTTGCTTTGTTGTCTTTGAACAATATTTAACAAATGTGGCAGCACACTAAGGATTGTTTTCCAATTTTGTTTAGGCACTGCCAATGAAAGATGATGTTGCCACCATCATACTTCATGGTGGGGTAGTGAACTCTGGCTTGCAAGCTTATACTTTCCCTTCCAAATGTAATTGTGTTCATTATGACCAAAATATATATAACTTTTTATTGGACCACAGGACATGTCTTAAAAAATGTAGGGCTTTGTTCCAGAGGACATTTGCTGTACTCTGACTTTTCATGTTGTATCCTCCCTTCCTGAGCGGCCCTTTAAGCCATGTCAGCTTTTCTGGGGTTTAAAAAACAAATTTTAAAGAACCTGTCTCCTTACTTGATAGTATGATGGCTTTTTAACTGACTATAGTTAAATAATAAATATGGTTTGCATCTTTGTGCCTAATAAAATAGTACCTGAGGGCAGATTAGACTCATGGAGGACTACAATTTTTTCTAAGATGTTACAGAGATGCAGTGTTTGTGGTGTCAATCTAAAATATATCCAAGGTGAACTTCTATGCCATTCAAATGCTGTAAATTGATTGACAAGGACCTACAAAGCCATGATATAATCTGGGATTTTCAACATAGTTTAAATGCAAAGTTACCTTGGCGTATGTAAACTTCTGACTTTGAAGAAAGTTATCAAACAATGATTTTAAACTGTTCTCTCTGTTTTACCTATTTTTGTTATTATTAATGACCTACAATAGAAAATCCTTGGTCTGATTTTAATGTCAGACAACAAGAGAAAAAGTTAAAACACTTTTTTTTTCTCCCCACAGTGGAATATCTGGGTTTAACTGCATGCTTAACATGAATACATTGTTTAACTTTATTTTGAAGCCTTTAGGATTTCAATTCAACTAAGTATTATCAGCCTGTACAGTATACAATATCAAAACCTGCTGTTGTCTGGTTCTGGGTCAAATGGAGGGTGTTCTCACAAAAAGGACAACAATTCTTGAGTTACACAGACAACAGTGATTAAGTCCTGCTCTAGGGAGACAGTTTGATAGGATTATTAGCCAAAGGTAAATAACTTAGCAAGAAGGATAAAACAAACATGATAAAATCTTTTAGGAGCCCAGATATGAGGACAAAGACAACACAGATGTAGTGAATACCACATGTCAGCCGTGGTGTTCGGGGTCAAGGCTAAATAGTCTGGTGGTTAAAACTCTACCCTAAAAAAATCTCATATCCTTACTGCAGACTTGTTTTTGCGTTCAATGCTTATCTTTCTTTTGGGCGTAGAGTGAACCATTTATTTCATCACTGCAAGACAGCAAGTATTCAATATATTTACCGGAGGGCAGAAAAAAAACTGTTCTGGACCTGGGAACACAGCGTGTTTGGCTCCAGGTTAAACTCTCAATATCTTGTTTTATAGAAACATGAAGTGAGGTTGAGAGTGATGGACCCCATATTAGATGAGGGAATTGATTATCACCTCTCATGCTTAAATGAAGAGGCGCCAAGCTAGATAAATATACTCCCTCTTTGATGTCTGAACATCAGTAGGAAGAGAACTAAAAATGTCACACAAACCACTAGGAGGAGGTAAAAGGGTAGAGGAAGTCAAACATCTAAGCTACAGAGAACTTCCTAACTTCCGGCTGGACACACTTACAGTACAGTCAAACCACCAACACAACAACGTTTGTTCAAATGCTGATTTTGACGACCATTAGTGGCAGAAATAATAGAAGGGCTTTAACATATGAAAGAGGATGATTTTAGGCCTAAGTATTTGATCATAAGTAAACAACTCCAGAAATTCTGCAGATAACATCGCTGCACTTCAAAATTTAGCAAAAAACAAGTTGAAAACTGTCAAGAGTCTTCATGCTTGCCATGTATAATATACCATTAGACTGTCTGATCACCTTTTAACCAAATTTTCTTTACTGAGATGCTCCCCCTGTAAGTGAGCCAAGTCTAGGGTAAGGCCGTAGAGTAAGTCTAGCTTGGTGCTGACAGCCTCTGGCCAGGGTTAGACGATAACCTTGAACAGACCATGGTTGCACTCCTTTATCTCCTCCCAGCACAGACGGCCTTATTGTCCCTCCTCCGACCCCCTCAAATATCCCCCTCCAGCCAATCTGAGATGGGATGAAGGCTTAGCCCACCTTTCAGCGGCTCTTTGACGACAGGGAGTCAGAACTCACACACCTGATAAGTGATACCCGTTAACTTTTATAGACACTGAGCTGTGAAATAGCGGGTGTCCACGAACTGCTTATTTATGGGAAGCTAAATGAGCCAGCAGGGGATTTTGTTCGTCCCAACAGACAATAAGTCTCCTGGTATTTGCACAATGACACTGGGGGTTGTTTTAACTGCAAAAGTCTGCTTTGTTCTAACGCTTCAAAGCAATGCTAGGTTTTTCTTAGAATGGAGAAAAGCTGTCCAAATCAAATGATTTCTTGTACATACTTGTAGTAGCTTGTACAGTGAGCATAGATTCGTAGCTTGTCCCGAATGACTCGCCCTGGTTGGGGCTTCCTCTGCAGTCCAGCTACTCGGACGGCTAAAACCTTCGGACCAACAAGGCGCTTGAAGACCAGAGAAAACCAGTAGTCCTGTAGGAGCAAGGCCATTGGTACACATAAATAGATGTATTTTACAGAAATTAAAGCATTAAACACTTTACTAATATAGCCTTCATCGTTTAGAATTTAGCACTTCTAAAACATGAGGCTGTATATTGAATTTCTTATTTGTCAATTTCTAAAAAAGAGAAACTAGTTCAATTTTTATATTTAAACTTGAAATGCTGCTTATAGGGGTCATAGAATGCAAAACCAAGTTTACATAGTCATTAATGAATAACAATAGTTCAATGGGTGAAATTGACGTACAGAGAAGTTCAAACCCCATTGACACCTCCTTTCTCTGCAAATCTCACAATTTTAAAACTTCCACCATGAAACGGGCGAATCCAAACGAAGCCCCGAATTTATGTCAACTCGGGGATGTTTTCCTTATTTGGTTCTGGCCTGTACTTTTGTCACACCCGGAAATTGACATACAGACAAGCCCACTGGTTTACTAGCCCAAGAACACAAATAGAGGTAGATGTAAGACACTAGTTTAGCTGTTTAGCCTACAGTTGGGTTTACTTTAACAAGAATTACAAAGCAAGCAGTTTCTCTATTGAAAATGAGACAGAACCCCAGGCGTAAATGCAGTGTTCCAGGCTGTACTGAGAAAGGGGAACATTTTTACCGTCTTCCCAAGGATCTGAAGACTCAACAGGCATAGATTACTTTTGTGTATCAGAAGATCCCTGCATATTTTGATGCTCAGCTGTTCATTTGCTCTAAGCATTTTCCTGGAAGACAGCTTTTAAAATCTTGGACAGTTCAAAGCAGGATTTACTAAACTTCTTTTACTAAAAGGTGGGTCTATTCCGACCGTAAAGCCCATCATAACCACAAGCTGTAAGTATTATTTTGTCACTAAGTTGTTGGCACTGGTCCGGGAACCCCAGCGGACTGGGGCAGGAAGCCAGGCAGTGATGGAACGAGCAAACCCGACCCGGTAACTGTATGCTTCCCCCGCCTGCCTGGGGCCGCCCCGGTGTCCAGGCTACTGTCACCGGGTCGGGTTCAGCTGCTCCGTCCCCCGCTGGGCCCTTGCCCCATCCGCCGGGGTTCCCGGACCAGCCCTGGGGCTGACGGCTCCATTTTGCTGCACTGTAATCGACCAAAATCCCGGACGGTTTTGAAATTCCCCCCGGAAATTTTTTTAGGTATGAAAAGTAGGACATGTCCAGGAAAAAGAGGACGTCTGGTCACCCTACCATATTAACAATTTGATGTTTCAGTGAATGAGTGCTTGTTGCTATGATGCATCTTTGCTCAGCAGCTTCACTCGTCCTAAACAACCAATCAGGGCACAGCTCATCTAAATATTCATGAGCATACCATAAAAGGAAGAAAACCTGTCGTTTCATTCTAGGGCTCATAACCACACCCCATTCAGAGACCTTAAGGACAAGCACTAAATACCCTATATAATTATTCTATGACCCCTTTAAAGCTTGTCCCAATCCTTATCCATTGTTTTTTTTCTATTAAAACATTTATCAGTGCTAAAATTGCATATGTACTCAAGGTCCCAGTAAACTCTGTTGCTGTATTTAAATAGAGATGCAGTCCCATCAGTAATAAACTCATAAAATCATTTATTTTTCTAATGAGCGAAGACCCCTGACTAAGCAAAACAAGTTGATTATAACACCCTTTGGGGGAAAAGGAGATATTATTTCAGTCAGAGGAAGAAAAGAGATTTAAGAAGCTATTTATTCCTAAAATATTACAAAACATGTCCAATTCACTTAGGCTGTGAGAGGGTGAGAGAGAGCAAGGCTTCAACAGACGACATAAACGCTGTAAGGGGTACAGCTAAGTTGCTCTGTTTTATTCCTTTAAACCATCTGCCTGTGCAGTCTTGGGCTATGTTAGATTTAGAAATAATGGCAGCAATTTTGAATTATACAGTTGAGAAATAATTAATGCTCTCTGAATTAGATAAATGATAGAGCATCTGCTATTTTTCCAATACCAGTCTTGCTAACCACAAGAATATAACACTAAAATTATTTATTTTATTTTATTTTTATGGTAGACTAGTGTTTTACAATGTTTGTTATCTGACAGTTATATTGCTACTGAAACAATTAGTGATGGCAGCAAAGAAATTGGCAGTTGACAGCTTAAACCTTCTGAATTCTGATAGGGCCTTTTTATATTTTAACATATTTTTCTTGGAAACAGTTGCTTTGTGTAAAGATTAGCTCTTATTTTATGCAATTTAAAAATATTTCCCTAATTTTGAATTAACCTAGCAAGAAAGTATTCTGGTGATTGTAGAGATAAATTTTATTTTGCAAACTTTTAATGAAAAATGCATTTAGAAAGCATATTTAAAAGAAATTTGTCAAATTTAAAAAACACCCAAACACGGGTGTAGTTTGACAGCACCAAGATCCATTTAAAATTCACCCCTTTAATATTAAATTCATAGAAAACATTATGCTAGATTATAGATTGTTGTTTGAGGCTATCCTCATTAAGAAGTCCACCATACTACATCCCACTGTACAGCCTACACAGACTCAACACCTCTTCAAGAGACCCAGAACAACATGTGCTCCTCAGGAAGTTCCCATGCAATCCTGCATATGGCAACATTTAAAGGCTTCTTTTTTCCACGCAGACTTTAACTTAATTTGCTGCCAAGGCATCGAAGAAGCAGAGCACAGTATAGAGTGGTGTATTGTTGACAATGACTGACAGATGAATACCCGGTCAGACTTATGATCTATCGTAAGTACATCATGCCTATTGGAGACTTTCTTCTTTAGTTTTATGTTTTGAAAATGTTCACAAATATAGCTTAAAGCACAAACAGATATGTGCATCTTAGTGTAAGCCGACTCTAAATTTGTTGACAAAACAGTTATAGATATGACATAATTCTATATTGGTTTAAGACATACTTTCCATGGTACTGAATCTTCAGCTTACATGTTTGTCTAATTTCTTGTCAAACTGCTGGATAGATCACAGCATAGTCTAGACTCTTCCATTGAAGAGAAACAGAAATACAAACATTACCTGCAGGAGCAGCCAGAGCGAAACAATCCAATCATAAAACAGTTTTAACCAAAATCAAAGAGCCATGTGGGCACAACTAAAACACTGACGAAATAACCATAAAGTAAAACCCCGTTGTTGTTACTGGTGTAGTTGAAAGGGCTAACATGATTAACACTTGGAAAATTTAAAAAGGGGGGCCTTGCTGCACTTTGTTTTTCTTTTTGGGATGCATTAGATTTTATTGAAACTCATAAACTAATTATAGGGCTACAGATTAATATTTTAGAGCCAAATAGAAGTATCAGACTGCAGCCTTCAGACTCCAGATGGTCCCTTCAACAAATACTAATTTCACTTTTTTAAACTGCAGATTGCATACAAGAATAAGAGTAAGATATACTTTTATAAAGAAAAGAAAATGTTCAACCTGCCTTGGTATGTAATATAAATGTTTTTACCCTTCATACAGGAGCAATATGTTCTCTAAAAAAGCAGATGTCTGCTCCTTAAAGAATATATCTTAGATCATCGTCAGCCTGGAAGAGGAGCTTAACACCAACCTCTAAAGACAGTCTGGTCATGAAAAGCAAAATCAACAAAGAAAACAGGAAAAGGGAGTATGATTACAAAAGAAGGGTAAGCAGTAAGGACAGGGAAGGTAAGGAGGAAAGTGTGGAAAAAAGATGAAGTGGTTCAGTCTTTTAATGGGCCGAGGGCTTTGAGTGGATTCTACCAATGGCAGAGTCATCCTATAGGGGAAGAGGCCAAGTCATAAATTTCCCATGCAGAGGACAGGTTGGCCCTGCAGTGAATTCTCTCAGCAGGTAGGCTTGCACAGCCGTCAGACATCCAGCCATGTTAAAAGCATTGTGATCCTAGCGGGAGCTCAACATTCCCAGAAAAATAATGGAAACGAGGAGCAAGGAAAAATGAGGCCATGTTGATTGATACATTTTAGAGAAAAATAACCAGACTTCTGCTTGAACTATGGGCTATAAGTTGGATCTAAGAGATAGATAATACCATTTGAAGTTTTGGAGAGATTTTGGAATTTCAAATTAAGATTTTAGGGGCTGAAATAAAAAAATAAAATATATATATATATATATATATATATATATCTGAATCCAACATCTTTTAAAATGATTGTTTAAGCCATAATTTTAAGAATATATTTAATTGCATATTTTCTAAATTGTGCAATTAAATATAAATTACATATTAAAAAATCAAACAAGTGTATTTTTCCTCCTGGATGGCCGAATTACAGAAAAAAGTTGGTGTTAAGCGCCTAATTTCCACACAGAGTTGCAGGCTATTTTACTAACTTGCCTGCATATCAGAGTATCAGGTTCCAGATCTCTCACCGGCTGCCTGTCCCACACAGAGAGGCACACAGTTAGGATGAAGGTAGAGGGGAGCAGTGACACTGTCCTGAGCTCTGATAAAGGGCTAAGGTTACATGGCATTTTGCCCTTACGTCTGACCACTCATCGCCACTAAACGGCTTTCATCTCAGCTAATAGCTCCCACGGGAAAGAGCCAGAGGTGCTATCAAAGCCCTGGCTATGCACAAGAAACGTTTCAGAGCCTACCAGGACTGGTTGGGTCAGATCCTGTTGTTGTGATAAAGGCTTAACTGTATGTCTTATGTTCAATTCTTATCTGGCTGATTAAAAAAACAACTTACAGGTAAAGGGTTAAAATGCTGATCCACAAGGTGTGCGTATCCATAGTCAAAGAATGAGTGCCGCAAAACCACATCAATGCCTTGAACAGCAGCCACACCCAGCGTGTTTATCCACCTGGAATAGGTGGAAATTACAGGAATATTAGAAAGCTAGCTGATGCATTTAGTTTCAGAACAAATGCCACAATGCTGATAAATACATCACTTCCACTTATTATCTTTTTTTATATTTGTGTTAAGTCACTTACAAAAAGCTTGCAGCGAATGTCTCAGAGAGATTGTTGATGCCTCCAGCCCATGCTGGGGCAAGTCCACCCAGCCACACCTTCTTCCCTGGAGTGTGTGTGTTAACAACCTGTAAAGAGCCACCAAAAAAGCAGGTGAATACATCAAAATTTCTTAAGCTATTTAAAATTGGGTTTTTTTGAATGTCAGCCTCAATACAAAAAGGTTTAGCAGATGGTACATGTGTGTTTTCATTTCGGTAACACGTCACTGACCACATCTTGCTGGATTATCAACAGAGTGGAAAACAACTCACTTAAAGCCAAAATGCTCATATGCTGTAAGAAGTAGTTTATGTTTATGCCAATAACAACAAATTATTAAAAGCATGAATTACAGGTTCAATAAAATCAAATGGATTCTTCCTTATGTGTGTGTGAATGAAACCTGTACAGATTTATCAGTGATGTTTGTGAGAGACGTTATGGATAAATTAGGTTTGCTATGTAGAGCTGAGTGTATGCATGGCCTGAAGCACAAACCTGTCATATGCACACTCTTACTCATTCTTTCTTTATATTATCAAGATTGGCAAAAAGAGGAACACAAATGGCTTCAGCCTAGGAATATCATTTAGCCCTCTGGCCCCGAGTCTTAGTAGAAGAAATATGGTCCAGGTTAGTATACATCTTCTGAAACCTTTTACTGTTATGAATTTTGGTGCTGGGAATGGCTGTTTCATTTCCCCCAGGCTCTGAGATGTTTCTTTTTCACAAATCAGTAGATTTGACACAGAGGCTCGTGTTGACCATGACTTTTTCAAAGGAATGGTACCGTGTTTCATAAATAAATGGATTTTTTTTCATATCTTCCCCTCAAGGTGGTCTGTGAATCTAATTTACAAAAAAATACATGTTGATTAAAGAAAATATTTGTGAAATTTATATGTTTCATATGGTGATTTATAAACAAAATGATTTAGCTTGTTTTATATAAAACCTAAATAAAATAATATGTAAAGACCTACTATTTGCATTACAACGAATTCCATCATGAAAATGTTGTAGTATTTAAACAAAGAAAATGTAAAAAGCAGTAATTAGGATTTTTAAAGAAACTGCAGTACCTTGGTGACTTTAGTAATCTGTTCGGTCAGTGTGTCAAGAAGACGAGTCTTGAGGAAGTCCTCTGCTTTTTTAACTCTGCCATCCATGAAGTAACTAGACAAGAAACAGAGAACATTCCATCAAAGAAACACCTCCTTAAAAAAATCATTAAATATGTTTAAGTACTATTTTCACTGCAATGACAAAGGTACATATTCTAAAAAAGCTATTTAAATTGTTTCAAATGCAGTCACTTTCTTTACCACGATAACTATATAACTTATCCATAATTCTGTTGTATTCTATTCTATTGTAAATATTTTTTATAATAAGTATATAATATATCTTTTAGGTTAAAACACAAAATGGTGTATCACAACAAGCTGTCACGTCACTTTAATTTGCAGATTATTATAAATAACGTTTATTCTTGCATCCACACACAAACATGACAAAACTGCTGACATGGTTTAATCTGTTGACGATATTAATCTGGAATTGAATAATCTCATACCATATAACAAATCAAAATGTTTGCAAATGTTTTCAACAACATTAGATTTAATTAACCATAAAAAAAACAATAAACCACATTTATGAATGCAAAATGATCATGCTGACTCAAGCTAAATTAACAATTTAAAAACTAGTATTAAATGACACATTTTAAAACTCTGAGGATTTTTTGTATGTTTACAATTAGAATATTGATACCATACATACCTTTTTATTATAGAGGTCACTATCAAATAAAGAAAGTAAGAACTGTTAAATAAAAAATGGCAATAGATACATAGTTTGGGTGAATATGATTGTGAACTGTAGAAAACCAAAGCCAGTTTCCTTGTTTTATACACAAAATTGATGATTTAATTTGATTACGATTCTAATATATCTGTTAATTGAAATAAAACTGAGATAATGTATTAATCACAACTTTAACTTTGACTGTCCTCACAGAGGGACAGTAAAATAAATCATATTTTTATTGTAAAAATATTTTTTCAAGATGAGAGAATTAAGACTCAAATTAACGGTATGTAATAAAATACAAAAATGTAAGTAACTATTTAGGAGATAAATAAGTAAGAAATCCAGTGTAAAATAAACCAAAATCTTTCCAATTTGTCATTCAGGAATGAAGTAACTTCCCCTAAAAACTTAAGTACACTTTTTAGGTATCTATACTTTACTCCATTACATATTTTTCTTCCTACTTCTGACTTCTACTCATTAAATTTTCACACAAGTATCTGTACTTTCTATTCCTTAAATTTTTTAAAACAAATATTACTTGTTACTCTTGGCTTTGGTTTTATGTTTATAAATATTTATTTCACGTCATGTGCGCCATCAAATCAGATCATTGGCTCCATCCACATCTAGTGAAAACTAGTCCAATTGGATGAGTCATAACGCATACACTCATTGGTTAGCTAAAGGAAATAATCAGAAGCAAGCAGCTGTTCTTCAAACTGCAAACGTGAATTGTCTATGCCATGCTACAATGTACGAGTCAGAAAAAGATGTTGAAATGTCTGAAAGGTCGGACACAGGCGAGAGCATATCAGGAGATGGAAACGGAGACCATCATCCTTGGCCCTATCTAAAAGTATTTTTCGAAATAGTCAAATTGGTTACTTTATACTTTTATACTTTAAGTAGTTTTTTAATTTTACTTTTACTTGAGTAAAGAGGTCAAGTTGGTACTCCAACTTTGACCGGTGTTTTTAAACTGCAATATCTATACTTCTACTTAAGTAACAAATGTGTGTACTTTTGACACCACTGTCCCATGGTTACCAAAGCTGATCACAGCATTTGTTTTTTTTTGTTGGCAAAAGAGCAGCAACCTGCTAACAGCCAGAAAGAGAAGTGAACCAGGAATATTCTGAACAATATCTAATATCCTCCAAAAGTATTCACAACAACTTACTGTGTCTGAATCTTCCTCACTCATCATCCTCAGTTTAACTGTGCCACGTCCACCTCTATTTACTTGCAAAGTTGCACAAGGCTCTCCAATAGGATGGGGGTGGGTAATCTTTTTGTGTGTTGTTTCAAGTAGAAATAATCGGTGTCATTATTACGCATTGTTTCTTTAACTGTTTTGAGCTCAATAAAAGATGATTAAAGGTGTTTCTTTAATTTGACGAGTAGACAATGAAAACTGATTAGTAAACCTGGAATCAAAATCAACCAATAAACTTCAAAATAGTCATCTAAGCCCTGCCCACTGCTTTTATCAATTAGACTGCTGGAGGAAATAATTACATGATGTGAAGCAGCAAGATCAGAAAAAAAAAAGAAAAAACTTAACTTAATTTTATTTATTCCTTTCCATTTTTAGCTTTGTAATACTGTATTTATGCTATCTGTGGGTTAAGTATTTACACTTGGGGCATAAAAGGGGCAGGGCTAACAAAGCAAAAAATGAATGAAAATTAAAGTAATTAACTATACATTTATTTTTTTATGATTAATTCTTTAATTTAGTCTAAATTAACAAGAATTTGCCAACCTTAAAAGTCTGTAGGTCTTCCGGGCCAGCAGGGGGACCCCAGAGCAGCAATATAATCTGCTTATCCCTCTAGCTGGCCCTTTGCGCGGAAATCACATTTCATAAGGTTTGTCAGTGACGTTTCTTCTGCATAAATAAAGCAACTTCACATATGCAGCACTTTAAAATGTAATCAAAAAAGTCTCATCCTCGTTGGACTTAACTTGTTATAAAAACATGTCAGCTCACTTTACTTGTATAAACAGACACTGACATAACTGACATAATCAATTTTGCTTCAGGACTTTGACAATCCAGTTCTGTGTCAAAATGTTGGACTGCATGAGCAGAGAACCTGGAAGTCCTGTACTTTAGCAGAATGAACAATTCAAAAAACATCTGCAATAGTCTCAAGATAAAGTCATACTAAGAAATGAAAATGAAAAATGATGTTAAAAGACCATGATGAGAGAGAATTTTGTTGATAGTTAGAGTCAAAGATCTCTGTAAGATCTCCCTGCAGGCAGAGCAAAAGCTATTCCAAAATCAGTTTCAAAAGTTCAAGGAAAGAAAACAAGGGAGCATTATGCGCAGTCTGTAGTTCATGTTTCAGTTACTATAAAAATACATCAGCGTCTATTTTGTACGACGAAGGCTTGCATATAAAGTCCAAAAATTTGGGATTCTATGTGATAGACTGACACAATGCAGTAGATGCTAAAGTTTAAGGAATACAATATATATATTTTTTTTAGAAATCTGTTAAGTATGTAGTGGATTTGTATTTAGGCACAGTGACTCAACTTGTGATCTAATGACAAGTCAACAGCTCAAAGGATGTGGGTATAAAATTCATTGATACAACTTGAATATCTGTCTGTCTGTCTGTCTGTCTGTCTGTCTATCTATCTAGCATTTCTTCATTCAGGAATGGGGAATCTTTAATAAAAATCTATGTAAAATAGGTCTGCAGGATTTTTAAGCTAAAGAGAGAGTGACTGCTTTAGCCAGGGTCTAAGGTGCAAGAGGACCAAAGTACAAGAGTGTGAGTGAGAGGCGTCAGACTGCATTGGCGTGTAGTCCATAAGACATTGGGCCATGAGATATTCCCTTTATTTATTTTGAAGTATTGTGAAGATGTACAATTTAGTTTTAGACTGTTTTTTTTTAACTTCTTTGAGATACTTTAAATCTCTTCTCAGTACAACCCTTACAGCAGCAACACGATCTCTACATAAAATGTTTTAAATAGTACCGGTACAATTTTTTTTTTTTTACCAAGTTGTGGGTTTGTATCTTAAAAGCATTTACTGAATATAAACTTTCTCAAATTTCGAGAGAAAGTTTAACTCATTAAAGTTTACCAAAAACAAAAATGCAATCTTTAGCCCCAAAAAAGTAAATTAGGGTCGGGCAGGGACTCTATTTCTTCCTTAATATGGAAGTAAACAGACAACAAGACAATACGATCTTGGAAACACAGGTCGTTCTCCTACAAAACCTGTGATGGAAAATCTGTGGAAATGACAAACAGGTGAGTGAAAGTGATGTGAACAGAGCTGCATTTAGTTCATGCTGGGTAAAGCAGTGTTGCAATCCAAGCTAAGACTCATTGAAATTTTCCTCATAGCACTGGAAAGGCCCCTAGCTCCTGGCCTCAAACTGTAAACAATGCAGGGATTAAGTCATACCAGTTATGTGGCTATCCTTTCATCTTTCCTGGGCGCTCACAATAATTCTTCAGGCCAGATCCCAGAGAAGGAAATTTCCCATCATACATGGGAACAAAGAAAAAAAAAAAAAAGGGAATTGATTTAAAAAAAAAAGTAATGTTTGAGCTTAAAACTGATGTTTTGTTGTATGTAAATAACACAAAAGAAAATGTACATAAATACATTTGTTTTGATGTTTTGACCTGAACTGACAGGGAAGTTGCTGGTTTATTGAATCCGGCAGCTGAAGCAGAACCAAAAACACTTCCTGTGTTCCTGTAGCATTTGCCAAGATCCTTGTTTTGCTGTTAGACTGATTGGGATTCAATGAAATGTCTGTCTTACATTTAAAAAAGACAAAGATAAAAAGAAAAAAAATATGTTTTATATTTAAGCAAACATTTATTTATCTTACGCATCAAATCATGAACATTTTGTGGGGTACATTTTGCATCAAGAAAGGTCCATCTGCTGTGACAACACAATTAGGGTGTAAAATACAGACATTATGTACAGTACCAGTGTGTTATCCACTAAAAAAAAAAAAAAAAAAAATCACCTGATCATTTCGCCTCCCTGCAGAACGACACCCGGAAATTTAGAGCTCCTGTCAATACAAATTTCCCAACCTTTAACATCTCTTTAAAAGTAAGCTATTATAAATGACACACATCTCTGCAATGTTTTTACTACAGCCCTTTTTTTTAAATTAATATTCATCCAATTTAATTCATGTATTGATATAGCTAAGTACAGTACTGACATCCCACTTGCTTTACCAGGTCCAGTCAATGTCCAGAAACCTACAGTGTTCCTGGAGCAATTATTATAAAATAATATGTTGTTGGCATGTTTACAGCAATGGCCATTTTAGTGCACCTCTTGCTAAGGTAGAGTTTTAACACCAGGAAGCTGCTTCCCATGCAGATGTTTCTGCTGCTAATACTCACAGCTGGAACAGTTAGGCTAACATTATGTGCTTTGCTTAGGGGCATCTAAACAGCGACTCTTGTGGAAAAGGGTAAATTTGTCTCATTACCTTTACTCACTCATATTTTCACAGCCAGCTTCCTGGTGACACATGTTTGGCTGTTTGAAATCTCTCACCATGAAGCAACCCCTGTAGGTAAGAGATCTGACTGTATATATGCTTGGAGGGCCTGGCTGTAGTTAAGTGTTTGATTGAAGTATATGTTAGTCAAAAACCACAAATGTCAACCTTATGGCAGTGCTGGAGGAGAAGTCGTGGAACCAACACTAAGATTCATCCTCTGGGGATCCTGCATGTTTGCAAAAAGGTTCAGAGCAATCTATCATGTAGTTGTTGAGATTTGTCAGCCTGAATCGAAGGGATAGCCCAACACTGCTGCTTTTAAGGTTATACAAATACCACCGCTAAAGAGGCATTTCAAATATCTAAACTTCCAGTTTGGATTCCTAACCAGTGTCACTGGCAGTTGCCCTTTTGCAATAGAAAAACTGTTTGTTGGGTAAAGCAAATCAAACCAAAACCTTCCCTGCAGAAGTTTTTGCATCCATAAAACCTTCATATTCTTTTCCAATGCACCTATTGCAATATGGCAAAGACTGAAACACAAAAAGGTTAGCATAAAGAGAAACGGAGGAAATTGAGACAGTTTTAAGAATTTTTGCTGCTATAATAAGTGAGTTTGAGCATTTTATTGTAAATCCAATCAATTAATGTCAGGACAAAGAACAGTTTCAAAGGGATTCAAGCGGAGGGTTGTTGGAGAACACTAAACATCAAAAAGAATTATTAAGAGCGAGGAATACAGCAGAGATAAAATGTGGAGGCATTTAAAAAAGCTTAGGTTTTAATACAATATCTGAAGCTTTGAACATGTAACTGAAATGTCTTTAATCCACAGTCAGAAAATGGAAATAACATCTGACCCAGCTGTACATCACCTAACATGATGCTCCAGTTAAGGAGATTTATTCTGATACCTTTTAAGCCTTTTTTAATCACAAAGGACAGAACATCATTATTAACTATTCCTGTTAATATTTTATTGCTAAATTATTTATTTTTCCTGTTAATGTGTTGTATGAAATGTATTCAGTATAGACTCTTTACCATTTTTTTCTGTCTTGTTTGTCTTTTTAAAACTATTGGATCTTAAAAAGAACGCCTTTTGTGTCAAGGAACCATACCTGTAATTAATTGTAAAATAAAACAAAAAAGGAAACTGCTAAGAGGTCTAATCCAAATGTGAAGAAGCAACAGAAACCTCTGTCTGATAACAGGAAAAGTCATGCAATACACACATCTGGCTTTAAAAGCAAGGGGGCATTAAGTAAAGTATCATTGTGTGACCGGCTATAAGCCATGGCGGTGGTGATGATAATATACTGTGCAAATATCAATACAAATAGTAAAAAAAAAACACCTATAGCTATTGCAGATTTAAAGCTATTCCCATTCAATCAAAGCATTTATTTTTGAAAGAAGCTGCGACTGCGGTCTAAGAAAAAAAGGAATCAATGTGAAAGGTGTTTTATTGTTTAAAAGGGGCTGTACTATTAAAGAGACATTACATTTTGGTTTTATTATCATAAAAAAATTATTAAAAGCAATGCGTTGTTTATGATCCAATTTGGTGTATCGTGTTAAATGGCAATAAGAAGATATTAAAATTTGTGGTTGTAATGTTAAAATAGCTTCATGGTTCATTTTTGTGCCTTGCAAAAAAGCCTACACTGTTTTATTGCCATCTAGAAATATGTTTTTACTAATAATAAAAAGCTGAAGTAAGTAAATATTTTCCACCCCAGGTTAATTTAGAATATGAATTTGTGCCATAGCACATTATTTTAATAATATAAGCAATCATCAGGTCCATGAAATGGTTTTCCACTTAGCATGTTTCTTTTTAATGAAGTGTAGCTTGAAGACTTGGCTTATTTTTAACTGGATACATTTTTTCTGACTTCCCTGAAAATCATTATTCGAAAAAAACAGAATTTGTACAAAACTATTAGTCTTCAATTTATGACAAAGTTTAAACTGGCTTGAATTTTACCAAGTTCCTGTTTCAACAAAGAATTTTGAAAAGAAAAAAGCTTTCTGGTTAGGAAAAACCCAACAGTAAAACTGTAAAAAAAAAAAAAAAAAGTATTATTTATGATCTGGAGGTATGAAAACATGTCACCTTCAAACTAATAACAAGCTAATCTAAAGCTAAACTAAAGCATCATAAGAAGTTATCCACACACCAAGATGAATAATCCCACAAACAAAACCAGTTCATATCAAGTGTGAGGTTTCTTTCCTCTGATATGGGATTAAAAGCAACTTCAGACAAGCTGCAGTGGTGTAAAACCTGAGCTGTAGACATGTCAATGAGTGTGCTCCCTTTTTGTTAGGTTGGCTTCTTTTATAGAGGTCAGAGTTTCTGTCACGCAGCATGGTTAGACAGGAATCTGGACCTTGAGTGTAAAACGGGCTAATTGACAGAGGGAATGAGCCAGAGCATATGGTTTGATTTTAACACTGTGGGTGGTGTTTTCCAAGTCTTACTGACAGCCCCTCCACCTTCCGTTTCTTAAAATTTCTACTAATTACATCTGACCTTCACCTTGATGAGTTCTCACAGCCACTTTCGGGTCGCCTGAACACAAGGTGAATGTGTTTCCTTTTGTAAATATCGTACTAAAATCCTCAGGTAGATGCAAAAAAATTCCTAGAGAAAAACCCACTAAATAGATCTGTAGACATTCCTAAATGGGCAAAAAAAAACGATGACAGGTGGTACTAATTTTCAACACTTCTTCTTTTCAGAGGTTTCATTTGCAAAATGACTCTTCACATCATGCATCAATCTGTCTAGAGAGCAATGTTATTAATTAATACCCTGACTCATCAAACTAATGTAAAACTGAAGCAATATGTGTCCTTTCAACAATTTTTTTAAAGAAGACTATAGGTCATTCATCATGCACTCATTCATATGTTCATGTATTAATTTCATGAGCTTGATAAGAGAATAGAGAAAAAAGGGTAAAATACCTACTGTTGCCACGTAACTGCATCTATAACTGAGCCGCTGTTCTTCATGAACCTGGAATTAAAAAAATAAACGGTTACAATATATTTTATCCACCAAGAAAACATAAGTCTCATTCTTAAAGGTATTGCTATCAATTTTATCGTATTATATAATTATTATAACTAACTAAAAAGACCTAAAAGTTATTTGTTTTATTTTCATCATTGATAATGTTTTATATTATTAAACAATATATCAACATCAGTTGCCACACTGAAAAAAAAATGCAACCGTTTTTGGCATTCAATTATATTCAGTTACTGTAACACTTTTTTTTTTTCTTGTTACCATGGTAGAACATAAAACAATTGCGTTAGAGTAACTAAATATGATTGAGTAAATCACAAAAGCGGTTGGTTTTTCTTTTTTTCTTGCAGTGCATTGGTTATTTTTATAAACTCGCAAGCTGCTCTAAAGTACTACCGGTATAATCTTAACAGTCCTGGTCAGAAGTTCACACACTCATCATCAACACTAACAACTTTTTCCTTGGTGAAAAACAACATAGAAATAATGATTTTTAAAAACAAAAACTGTTCTATATTGTTATTTTAACACATATTTTTTTACTCTAAAGGTTTACACACAGGCTGAAATATATCCCCATGAATACCCAGATAAGAGGAGAGGTCTTCAATGGTGCTTGCCTGATATTTGACTTCTATTCTGTTTAGAAAAGATTTCCCCATTTTTCTATTTTCTTCGCATGAATTTGGCTTTTAAGCTCAGGGAAGCAAGAGGACAGCATCTGTTTCACAATCAACACATTTAGGAATGAAGCTTGTTGCTGCTGTCCACGTGGTCAAAATATGCTTTTTGTACAGGAGCATATTTCTATAGCTTCAAAAGCTTTGATTGTAAGATAAATATGCAGAGAAAATGCATCAAAAATACATTTAGATTTAAATGTCCAGTCCAAGGTTTACAGAGACTTTAATTCTACCTTTGTTAGTGTTCAAATTCAGTTTTTTTTTATTTTAAATGAGGATTTTGCTTATTATAGATTTATAAAGTAGAATTCATAATTCATATAGAAGAGTAAACATCTTAAAGCCTGTGCTTCTGAGCCTTGCTAAATCAATAATCCTCAAACATTTAAAAATATTATTTCATCTTCTTTAAAAGGACTTATCCTGTAAACTGATATAAACAAAGCTCCCCCTGCTATCTTCCTCTCTTCATCTCAGGCTCTAAATCTGTGTGTGTTTTTTTACCTGACCAAAACCGCTCCATATTTGGGGCTAACAACACGCCAAGATGGGTCTACACAGCTTGTCACAATAACACAACTTTCTCCAATGTGGCTTGTTTAGTCTTGTGGCTCTGATATTTGGACTGTTAAGTCGTTTGGAATAAAATTAATCTTATTTGCTAAAAGCAGCAGAGTGCACATGCTGTCAAACACTGGAGCTGCCCACCTCGTAACGGTGTCAACCAGACAAGAAATGTCGCTTGTTAAATATGAAACCAGTGACCCGCAGAAACTCCGGCTCTCTGGGCTTTATCCTATTCTACATTTAACCTGTACCATTTGACTGCGGCTCAATCTTTGGTCTTATAAAATATATTCAAAGTTATATACAAATATTTAACCTTTATATTGTGGTATGGCTGAAACAATCGGATTAATCGTGATTAATTGATTTTTGACATAATCGTCACCTAATTTAGTAATTGATTAATCGTAAACTGGAGTACAGAGACTCTAAAGCCTGCCTTTAGTTGACAGAGCAACACACCTTAAGCAGCAATTATATCAAAACTGCAAAAGAAAATATGTAAACATTTAGCATTTAAGATAAAAATCTTTTTGTCCATCAATATGCTCCCTCCAGAACTCCTTGAGTAGAAAATCCTGAGTTCTGGATATTGTTTTATTTAGCAAAAAGTCATCTTAAAGGAACATTTGGCTATCTTATTATTAATCGATGAATTGAAAAAATAATTGACATATTAATTGATTTGCAATATAACCGTCAGTTACAGCCCCATACTTTGGTATACTTTAACTATAATGGAGCTCTTGATTATTTAAATAATGTGAGAATCTGCAGTAAAAGAATGACAAAAGCTCAAAAAAATTGTTGTAGCATAATTTGCCTTCTTCTTTATTAAAAATATGTGCATTTACCACAATATCTATTGAATGAAAAGTTAAAAATACTATCAGCTTACTGCTGTGCAATTAATTGCAGACTTTCAAAATAGGTGTGTGTGACTTTTTTATTGCTCCCTTCATTAAATACCTCTAAACATAATTCTGCAATGCTTCTTTATCCATGGAAAATAATCCTTATTTGTAGAAAAAAAAATCACTTGTATCTGTTGTGACAGGTCTTTGAGTTTTAGATGTCCTTTAGTACTACAATATGTCTAAATGGAGGTAGTATTTTCTGTTTTAAACAGCAAGACTTTTTCCTTTACCAGTAGGATAATCTAATGTTTAAATTTCTTAATACAATTCCTAATTTTCCTCTCAATACAATCAAAAAATATATAAGCTCACCTTAAACAAACTACTTATTTGGAGTGTTCATTAGTGATAGGGTTAGAAAAAAAAACTACCGGTAACTTGAGTCAAAGTTTGTGTTTGTCGTACAGTAGCAATAATGCATCCATTATGTGAATTTTGTTTCCATTTCAGAAGGCAAATATTTACAAAGTCTTTACTTCTGGATAGTAAAAGAAATGTTAATATACTGTCACCTGATGGACTAAACAAACTGAAGTTGTTTTGTTAAAATGAGTTTTGAGATGTAAGAAGTATCTTCCATGCTATAGCTAATGTGACTTCCCATAGTATAAATACTGTCAAGGAAGAGGTAGAGTGGGTTGCTGTCACATGGCGATGCAGCTAAGTGGATTCAAATGCACATCAAACAGATGCAAAACTGCTTACACCAAAAAAGGATTGTTTTGATTACATTACTCTACATCCCCCTTCACAATGATTAACCTCCTCCATACAGGCATGCAAAAAATGACCTTAAAATGTAGTTTTTGCTATGGAATCCTGGCAGTGAGCTTTCGAGATTTTTGTTTCTTACTATGCTTCCAACAACGATGCTTATTTCAGGTAGCCATTCAAAATGTCCCCACTTTCATTAATGGGTCCTTGGCTACTCCCCTACAATTCCCTTTTAAACATCTAAAATATTTATTCTGTCATGGGTTTTGGACATTAAGATCTAAAATAATGCATTAACTCCTGGTCAGTGGAGTCAGAGTAAAAAGAATGCACGCCCAGGGGAAGGCCAGGGGCTGGAAGTTGGAGGGGATTTTGCTGCCATTCGGCTGTCTTTTGACTGGGAGGGGGCATTTTGAATGGCTGCTACTGTATTCCACCTCATTTTACTTAGAGGCATGATAGGCATCGGCCCATTTTTTATACAGCTCCAACTAAAATAAACTCTTGAGGTATATAAAAAATTCCTAACACATGAATGTCTATGTAGAAATGCATTGCTTTAGCAGCATGTTATCTCATCTTTCCCATTTTAAAGTGCCTGAGGAAGCCTCTTATTTGCACCCTTTAGAAGCATTTTTTCCCCCCTTAAATAAAATGGCAAATATTATATTTTTATTTTCTTTAGAGAACCTTTTTTTTTTTTTCAAAAATAACAGCATGAGATTCTCATTCATTTTATTTAACATGACTTGGTTTATTTTCAACAAGATAAAATTGTTTTCCAACTGTCTTAGGATTACATTTGTCAATTGCTGCAATGAGCTGCAATTAATTGTACTGCATTGATCTACAGTATTTTCTCTATTTTTACCGTTCTTTTTGACTAAAAGAGGAGGGAGAGCAGAATTACTCTGTAAAACAAACTGATATCAAAGGGAAATGATGATAAAAGATCCTCCTTGCAACAGTAATGGGGCACAGCTTTAGCAGAAGAGTGAAGCTAATAGTAGTTAACTTCACTCCTCTGCAAAATCTTGACTTTTATTTACCTTTCAAGATAAAACAAAATATTAAACAAGTGTTACTGACTTTTCAAAGCAGGAACTCTAAAACCTAGTGTTTTCTTCTTTTAATAGTAAGATGACCCAGTGGTGTATTTACATTTTCTTGATGCAGGCTTCAGTTGGGAGGGTGCTGTTGAATAAGCAATTGGCGTGAAGCTAAAGCTGTCGCGGCTTCTGGCTGAAACCAGCAGGTGGAATATTGTGCCGCCACGTTATCAGTCAGATGACACTTTATTTAGGTTGACGTGGTTTGAGTGGAGCTAAGACCCTGAAGCGCAAAGAGTGGAAATTCATAAACACCAGGTCTACACCATGTGTGTTTATGTGGGGGTGTGTGTACTTGTATTTGCTACAAAGTGAGGACATTTTTGGCACATTTTAGTAGTAAAGTGAGAACCTTGATGTAAAGTGAGGACTTTTTACTAGTCCTCACTTAGTTGGCTTAGGTGGGGGGTTAAAATGAGAAAATGAGTAAAGCTCTATAAAGTCTGAAGCTGCTGCAAGATACTTTCCACTACACTTCCTAATTACTCTCCACCTACAGGGCAGCCTAACAAGGAATGGAATCTGAGCCAGGAACGGTTTCTTATACTCACCCATCCAGCAAGACAACAGCATTCTTTCGGGGTCGTCCGGCATTTGGTCCATAAAGATGAGCTCGGTTGTAGTAGCGTACAGACTGCAGGAGGGTCCGCAGCTTGGCATAGTCCTGAGCCAACTGGGTGCTGTTGACCGCACGACCCACCATGCTTCGGTAGGCATTAGGCTCTGGTGAGAGGGAAAGCAGCACAATAAGACGAGAGAGAGGGGGAAAGGACTATTGTTGATGTAGTCAGACTGCTATTGTAGAGAATCCAACAAGCGGTAAAAGGAAAAAAGAGGGGTTGGGAGAGTAATTGGGCAATTCACAGTAATACCGATGGATTCAATGTCAAGGGAATAGTGTAAGCAGACATGGTGGCCTTGCACATTCATTACAACAAACACCAAAGGAAAAGGTTTGCCCAAAAAGGAGGACTCATAAGCTTTTGCAGACCCACTGCTGTTTAATCGCTTAGACAATTAATCTTTACCGTTCATTCATCCTCTGTACATTTGTCTCTTTGTCTGCATTGCTGGGACGATTTACTTAAAATTATTGCTTTCGCTACGGTTCAAGTCCTCTCATAAATTTTTAGAAACGCTCAGAAAAATGGATTTAGCATGATACTTTAAGGCTAAGTCTGAAATAAAGTTTCTAACTGGAGAATTATTGCTTATCAAGTTAATAGAAACAAAATGGGTCATGCAACAGTGAAACACTTCTTCTTTTATCCTTCAATGAACCAGAGTTTTTAAACCTTGAATGTATTATTCTAATGAAACTATTGAAACTTGGGTTTAAATGATGCATTAAAAATGCCTTTTTAACCTTTTTCATATTATGCATTCAGTGCTTCCTGGATGTTACGTTTAGAATCTTTTTTTCAGTGCATTTGAGCTATGAAAGTCCAAAATTAAATATAGGATTTTAATCTCTACCAACAGGCATCTGATCTTCATTTATTTTTTCTTCCTGACAGGAATTCCAAACACAGCACAAGCTCAAAAATGTTTAGCTACATCTTGATGACAAAGAAGCCCTGGGACAGATGGAATATCTCCTTAAGTCGACTGATCTTAACCTCGTGGAATCATTGAAAGAGACAGAGGAAATGGAGGAATCTTAAACCCTACCATCTCCTTAAATGTTTAACTAAAAGTGTGGAGAGCTGATAAACAAAAATACAGATCTCTTTCAAACAGCTACCTTATCTACGATCTCAGTATTTCACAAACATTTGCCTTCTCAAACTGTGTTCACACTTCCTCCCTGCATATAAACAAACAAAAAGTAATACTGGTTTGTGAAGTCTATGTGGTTTTGATAAAAACAAAAAAAAAAAAAAACATTAATCTGAAAGGTGTGCTGTGCTTATGTACAGTATGCAACCCTCGAACACCATCCCTTGTAGAATCATCTTTTGCTACTGTCAAGTTGTAACTAAATATTTTTCTATTATTATACGGCTAGAGATAGTTTACCGACTCTTCTTTGCCAAATTGCTAAAGTTCTGTAAAATTCAAAAGATAATTTCAGCATTCTAAAAACACACCACAGATTTGCAAATATAATTAAACTTGGACTTCGACTGGGCAATTATATTACATGCATGTTCTTTGAACAAAATAATCTCATTGTTTTTTATCCGTGTGTTTGGCTAGTAGAAAAACATCTTCAAGTCTTTTTTGAAACCAATTTTTTTCCAGCCTTTTCATGCATTCAGCTTCATCCATCAACTTTAAACAGCTTAAAGGTATAGTGGAGGATTTTTACGAATTTTTGAAAAGGCCCGCCCTCTCCCTTAAAAAAAAAAAAAGCACATGCACAACTCTGTACCCGCTCCTAAGAGGGAATGCTTATTAAATGCGTGTGAATGCATGCTCAAGCCCATTTCTTCTGGTGCACGTTCTGTTTAAAAGTTGCTGTTTGCATTGCTCATACAAGCTTACTTTCCAAAAGAAGATTAGCAATTTTTCCACTATGTCAGTCTTACATAAACATATCACCAGAATGATTGACAATTAGGAGGACCACATATTTAGATGATCCACCCAGTAAAATTAACACCCTCCACTATATCTTTAACTGCCACTGTCAAAGTGACAGAACCCCACAGCACGATTCTGCCCTTACTATGTTTATTGGTCAAGGTATTGATGGTGATTTTAAAATTATCTGCCGTGTTACATTGACCCTTTGGTAACTCTAAAATGTTTTGCAATGATGCCAAAAAAAATTTGGTAATTATTGTCATCTCAATATCAGTGTGAGCAATATTCATATCACAAAGACTGTTTAGAGTTTTAATAACTATTTTCTTCAGTATTTCAAGGGATATGAATTTGCAGTTTACAAGGTAATTTTATATTCCGTCTCTGAACAGTCACAGAGCAGTAGATCCTTTACTGGAAAATAATTACTACATTGCTTAAAAATGCTAAAGTTCAAAGAGTTGAAGCACAGATAAGAACAGAGGAAAGGATGGACTGGAAAACAATACAGCGTATATCACAATTTTATCATCATCACTAGACTTTCTACTGTACTGCCTCAGTTTTATCTGATCAGACATCCTTACTCCTCATGTTTGCTGTGTCTGTAAGATATGATTGCTTTGTGTTGCTGTATACAGGAAAATCGTATTTTAATAAACTGAAGTTTTTGGCTAAAATATAAAACAAGTGTAAAAATGTTCTGTTTGGTGTAAAGTTGTATATATCATACAGGGCTCTGTCCTACACTGGAGAACTATGCTTGTGGAGATGGATGGTAATGAAATGTAGAATGTAATTTAGAAGCAAACAAAGTAAAAAAATACACACACACACAAAAAAACTTTTGTATGTAATTGCTAAGAAAATGCCACTAAGAGAAGCAGAGAAACTTGGAAACCATACATCAAAGTCAGCAACTCTTCGGTAGATGAGGTAAAGAAAAACCCCAAAACTTACTTTTTACTACAGAGAACAATCTGTTAAATGACTACTGACAAGGCTGCATGTGGTATGCTGCTGTACTGACCGTTGCCCAGCTCCCAGGAGATGTTATACTTCTTTCCAGCACCATACTTCAGGAGGCTCAGTGTGGAGGATGTGTTCCAGGAGTTGTCTGGGTTTCTGTGCAGCGCGTTGAGCCCCAGGATCAGGTGCAGACCAGCGCAGTCGGCAAAGTTGTACAGTTTGTCTAAAGACCTGGCTGGGAGAAACCCACAAAGCAGTTGTAACTTTGATTCTTTTGATTCATTTGGAATCATATGACGATAATAGAAGCCATGTGGAAGTTAAGGATTTGCTGGTTCTTGATCTCTGTGATTCTTTATGCTTGACTATAGCTCTACACTTATAGCAATGGTGCTCTTGGCATAAAAACTACGTCACAATTCAGAATCAGAATCAGAAATCAGAATCAGAAATACTTTAATAATTCCA